CCCTCGCTCCCGCCTCCTGTCCCCTCTCCCGCAGTCTATTTCCCCGTTCCTGTCACTCGTGACAGGATGGGAAGAAACGCCTTTACCAGGAACTCGGATCTGTTTTTGTCTAAACGCAGATCTGGGCTATTGAGAAGGAGATGCTGACTGCTCGCGATTTAATAAGTCAATTAGCGTCTGTCCGGCTTGAAGGAATCCGCTGGCGAGGCCAGAGCCGCTTTCGGGACCCGAGCTGTCTTCACCGCCCGAGTCGGGTCCCCGGGCCGAAGAAGGTGACGCTCGGGGCGACGCTCGGGTCCCCGTGGGCCGCCCTGAACGGCAGGACCCCGCGCCCTTCCCGGGCCTCGGAGCGGGGCCCTCCGCCTGCGCCCCGAATGTGGACCCTCGGCCGCGGGTCGTTTGCTCCTGGGCACTTCCTCCAGGGCTTTGTCTTTAAGAAAGTTTGATTCTTTGGATGTAGCCAAACACTTTTGTGAGGGTTCGGTTCCATAGTTTACTTGATTTTTTTTTTCTTGTAAAATGTATTATCAATCAATTGCGCACTTTCCCATTTTATTGGTGCTTTCTGGGCAAGAGCTGGACGTCTTCCAAGTCGGAGATCTGATCTGATTGGGAAAGGTGTTCTAACCCAGTCCCAGAAAGGGAGAGAGTGGGCGAGGATTAAAAGCCTCCACCATTAACCGGCAGCTGCACGGGCGGTGGCACCAAGATGCTGCCAAGGTGCAGGTGCGCTCTCGCGCGCAAACCCGCGCCTCCACAGGAGGCTAAAGTCACTGTCCCCCAGCGACCGCGGAGAATGGCTCAGTTCTGTCTATCATCCGTGTGCTCTCTTCCCTAGGTCTATTGGGGAGAAAAAATGTATGTCAGGGTAGAGGTGGGGTAGAGGTGGGAGATACTAAAGCGGGACCCTTGGGCATGTCTATATCTGCTCTCTAAAAACAAATGGTTTGACTTCCCAGGAAGGCTTTTGTTTTGTTTTAGGTTTGCAAGAAAAATTACTAACATGCTAACGTTTCTGCTGAAATACACTCAGGAAAAAGTAAAGTTTCATGTCAAATATATTAGGCATATGAAATGAGATATTTTTCCTTTCTCCATTTCCCTTTTCATGAATAGGGAGAAATTTAAGTTCTTTAAGTTCCTCTAGCAAGAGCGACGCCTGCCGCCCAATGCTTTTTGGTACTGGCTGGGTGAGCGGTCAGGGTAGCCTGGCGGCTTGGGGGTGTGCACACAGCTGGTGAGCAAGGTAGTGGGAGCTGATGAAGCTTCTGTCTGTCGTTGCTGCTGTTGCTCCAGCCTAAGCATGTGTTATTTTAGACTTACCTAAATAGTATTTTTAAATAGCATTTCACAGAATGAAAAACTACACTTTTATAAAGGACATCAGTGGGATCTACTTCCCACAAATACTACTAACAAGGAAGTTTCGACCAGTGTTACCCTTCTTCTTTTACACTTTTTAATGGGACCTGATGCCCACTGTGTGGATGCTGCTTCAGCCTCACTCACAAGCTAGATACCTACACAGCACAGAGCCAGCACCTGGTTGGAATTTGAATCCATGAAACCTGACAGTTAAGGATTAGAAACTCCAGGCGTTCTTTCATTCACTTGTGTCAAGTTCTGTGTTAAAGTCACTCCTAGTGCCGCTCATGTTATATACACAGATTTATAGAGTTTAAATAGAAGACTATACTGGTTTACTAGTCTTTCCTAGACTTTTCAATTTACAGTGTTGCTGGGATGAACTCTGTGAAGCTCTCCAGCTTCCAGAAATATGTGTCTTGTGCTCAATGTAAGCGCAGTCTGACCTGCTGAACTCCCTGCTTTGAGGCCTGAGAAGGCAGGTATGTACCAGCTCACGGAGACAGGAAGTTGTGTCATAAGTCACTTGGTCTCTCCACTTCTTTTTGTGTAAAACAGGGAGGCTGGAGTTGTCCCTAGTGTAAAACTACATGATCTTCTGATTGTTACAAAAATACGTGAAAAAATGCAGTGTTTCCTACAAAAATCTCAAGGTAATTCACTTGAAGTCATCATTATGAGCTTATCTATCTACTTTCAGGCACGAAGAGGTAATGCATTTATATTAAATAATGTAATTCTCTCCTTTAGTAACTGAACAAATGTCTACTGTCAAGGATCCAAAAAGCTGGAAAATTAGCAACAAACTGTTTTGAAATTATTGAAAAAAATTGTTTGCTGGAATTGAGTTAGTTGTTGTGAGTACCTCAACCTTTATTCAAGATGTTTGGCAAATGAGAGGAATATAATTTGCTCAGTTTTAAGCAGTGTAAGGAAAGCTGCAGCACCCCAGCCACAATCATTCTTGTCTTGTCAAAAGAGGTATTAATTTAATTTTAGATGAATATTAACTCTCTACAAAGACTTCTGACAAAGGTATGTATTAACAGGTTTTAAACTATTATATCACTCATTTAACAACCTAATATCTCATTAGAAAGAAAACAATCACCTTTCATAAAAGATAGTCTCATGTGCTATGATGAATATTGCTTCATGTTTAGCCTTTACCAGTCAGTAGCTATCAGTCTGCTAGGAATGACCAAAGCTTTTAGGAAGCCAAGATTGCTCATAGGACGGTCTCCCTAAGAAAGTGCAGGAGCACAGCCTCACAAGTAGCAGCTTTGCCTGTGTCCATGAGGGGCCTCCTGCCTGATTCTTTCCCTCCTATGCTAAGGACACCCAGGTCATGGGCCTCTCACATTCTTTGGTTTAACTTTTGCTTCTGCAACACCACATGATGTAGCTCAGAAGAGGCATGAATTACACATTTTGCAGTAAGGGTTGGAATACCAGTCAGCACGATGGACTTTATTCAGATTTTTCCACCTACAGCAGAGATGAAGAGGACTTTCACATGGGAAAGGCCTGAGGACATGTGGACTTCTGTTTAAGTTAGAAGTTCCAGCTAGAGAAGTCTTGAGACATTGGTGCTTTGGACTTTTGGAAGTCCCAGCCTGGCATGTTTTTTTTTTGTTTGTTATTGATACCAGGGATTGAACCCAGGGGTTCTTGACCACCTCAGCTACATCTCCAGCTTTTTAATTTTTTTTTTAAATTTGAAGACAGGGTCTCACTAAATTTTTGAGGCTGGCCTCAAACTTGCTATCCCCATGCCTCAGGCTCCAAGCCACTGGAATTACAGGTATGAGCCCCCACACCTGACCCTGGCATGTCTTGATGGCCACAGTGAGAATAAATTTGAACATGCACACCCATTCTCAATAGTTAAAAAAAAGACCCTACCCACTTAGTAAAAGGGCTGTCAACTGCCAAAATGGTTCATGGGAATATCTGAACAAAGTAGAGTCTTCATGTAGGCAGGTGAGACCCGCAAATACTGCATTCCTTATGTTTCTGCAGGAGATGAAATGACAGAAACTGAGGCCCAGGTATGGCTCTGCCCTTTGGCCTGGCTATCTCAATTCAGGGTCCTCCCTTTCTGGGACCTGGACATGGGCCTGATTGGAAGTGAGGAGGACTGAGTGGGGTTTGGGGAGAGGGGCAGGCATGACATCTACAGCCCCCTCTGGCTGGCTCCTGTGCTAGCCTCATTGGGTTTGCATTCCTGGCATCTCCAACTTCCTGAGGTCTAATTACACTCTCACAGCTCCACATACCACCCTCGCAGGGACTGTTTGTAGGCTGACCCTGCTGTACACTCTCTGGCTCCTAGGTTTCCCTGTGAGATCTTGTGGAACTCCCATGGCCTCAGAACTCTGGCATTCTGCACATCTGCAAACCAAGCATCAAGTGGATGGTGCCACAGTCTTCAGCCAGGTGGGCTGGGCCTGGGCCCACTCAGGACAGTGCAGCTGTGCTCAAGTGCCTGTATGGCAGTACATGGGGAAGCCAGATCCCTAGGCACGTGTTTTTGTAGGGGCAGCATACTCTGGGCTCTCTTCTCAAAAGACTCTGTCCTGGAAATAATTCTGCATTTTTACATCTCTGAGCTGTGGTGGTGGGGTCTGGCCTCCTCTTGAGATGCACTTGAGACATCTTTCCTCTTGTCCTGGTGCAAAGCACTTGGCCTGTTGTTCTTGGCAGTAATGACAAACCCTCCTTGGCCATACCTGTAAAACTCCTTTTCTCCCCAGACTGTGTTTTTTCCCCCCAAATCTTTCTGCTCTGCTCTTTTTTCTATCATTGTAAATTTGGCTAAAAGTAGCCA